TCGATAATTTTAATTAATCGATCTTGCAATCGCCAAGTAACCCTAAAAGTATCCATACTATAACTTTTTATATAGTAACTATATCTTCACTAAATTTGACTTTTAGCAAACATTAGTACAGAAAAAATCAGATTTTTTTAAATTAAGTATTTTTGCTAAAGGCTTGTCAAAAGTTTGTTTATGGAGTCAAGAGTCTGAATTAAACTAGTCTTTGTGCAAGCCAGCCGATTTTCATGTTAAGATTAAAAACACTTTTTTTTACACCTTAAAGTTTCATTTGCATAACCTCTAGAACTTCCTAAATTAGCATCAAAGTTTTTTTAGTATAACTATATTTTACCTGTGTATATGAACTCGGTTCATTTGACCGCCCTTGTAACCACCATATTGCAAAAAATACGAAACGTAACTTTTTTTTATAGAATGTATAAATATTGCAAGATACAACTATGCACTATTTGTACAGCGAAACCTAATAAGCTTTTCATTTATATTTTACAGTAGCACTTGACCTTCTCAGACTATTTATTACACCAGACAACTATGTGTAAACAACAAATCCAGTTGTGCTAGTAACGAATTACACAGTTGCCCTGGAACTTGCTATTATTGATCACAGAATTTTGTTTATTTAATTTCATTTAAATTTGCTTATTTAAACTAATATTTTCTAACTTTCAGGTTTTAGTTACTTATGTTGTAAAAAGCTACACGATGGGTAGTCTGTGCTGTGCCCACCACAGTATCAAAATCCCGTTATTAGCAGTGTAAGCCCTAGTTTCTTTTATAACAATAAATAAAAAGACACAAAAACCAAGAAATTTAATACTCTTGTCTTAAATCTTATATTTTTCAAGCTTTTGCAATGTATAGTGAAAGTCGACATCAAATATGCAATTTAGAATACGAAATATTGTCACGCACATAAAATACAATATCTTAAACTTATATAATTTATATGGCTTTCTAACTGAACTAGAAACAGCTTAAATAATTCCCATATCTTGTCAAGCAGAACTTCAACATGCATAAAGAAAATGTTCGAATTTGCTTATTCCAAAAGCTGGAGGTCAAATAGCTATCAACAAATTCAAACATTTGCTTTATATTGGTTACAGACTGAACAATATTAAATGTCCGAGAATGTATGACAATTTTTGATAGCAGGATATTCCACGAGAATCATGGCACACGTGGCCTTCATTATTTTATTACTTGTATCTCCCTAAAGCTAAAAGCTTTGTCACTACAAGTTGACAGTTTAGCTCAGGGAAATGTATAGTGTAAGTAAAATTCCACAAAAGAGCTAGGAGATGATACAGAAGTAGAATTAAATCGAAAATGGACAACTTAGGGCAAAGAAGTGTCACACGATACAGATAAGTGAAGATTAAGAGTTTATATAAACATTTTGTTTTGGAATTAAGAAATTAAAATTTAAATAATTTTAAAGCTTATATTATTAAACTAAGTTATGATGTCAAGCTTATTGACATACATTGGTAATAGTTGTTTAACTTTTTAATGAAACTGTAAAAGGTTGTGGCATGCAATTTTACCCTACCCAGTTTTAGAGGGTTATGAGCTGTGGTGTCCATGTGGAGTGTAACTGTTCGTAAGAGCAAAGGAAATTTGACATACTTCTTGACAATGTCATGAGTTTCAAGTTTACTGGGCTTAAGTTTAAATTTTCGACTTGAAGACAAGCATTAAATAAAGGAGGGAGGAAAACCGTGGTATGTGGGCATTTCTTCCACCATTTTCTCTTACGTAGAAATATTTAGTTTGCTTCTGTGCAGTTTAACATAAACACGTGGTCCAGAAAACCACTGGCGTTGTTTCATTCTGGTTTCCTTTGTTCTTTATATGGCAGATATTATCTATTTTACTCGTGGAGATGTTGCAGCAATTTAGTGTAGAAAAGGCCAAGAACTGCAACATCCTTCACTGGCTGATTGAATGGTGTGTGCATGCTACAGCTAACTAATGGTGTGAGAGAATGACCAGTAACATGATGACACTATAACAAAGAGAAGATTTCTTGTAAGATCAGAACCCTCATACTTTCAGAATTCTAATTGGCCATTTTAGTGAAAGGTTCCGAGATCTATCCTGATGGAATGAAGCTATCGATTCGTTCACAGGTTCAGTAGTAAGGTTATTGTCTCATGTCTACACAAGAATGCACATTTTTGTTTCTTTGTTTTTTAATTATCTTTTCTTAACATCACTCTTTACTTCTCACTACTGACACACGTATTACTGCTGTAGGAACAGTTACAAAGCCAGCTCAACACAAGTAGATATTAGTGGAATATTGGTAGACTGTGGTGGTACTATATATATATATATATATATATATATAGGTTAAATCTCCAAAACTGGTCACCTGCTTTGTGCCCACTGCTGCGACCAGATCTTTGATTCTAGCATTGTATCACATAAAGCTTATTGCTAAACCACATTAAATATTTCTATTATCATATTCACCTACATAGTAAACAATTTCCACACACGCCATATCAATTAAAATATTATCTTGAGCTAAGTTAGTGCTTTTTTAAACGTTTTTGTTTGCAGACCACCTGAATTTTTCTTTTCACCTTGGAGGATTTGCCCACTGTGCTACAGCTTCTCGTTATACAACGTTTCCACAGACCATCTGAAGTAAGCCTGTGAATAAGGGTATTTTTTTTTTATAAATGTTACTACGTCTAATTAAATAAAAACATCCAGATATCTGTCAACAGAATGCGTTTTATTTTACTTATAGAAACATTTTTCAAATAAAGATTACATCATCACATTAATGTCTATTTTACTTTGAAGTTTTTACTTTTTTGATATGTAGCACTGATCAAATGTCTTAAGAATATTTGTTGGAGATTTTTTTTCAGAGCCTTTGGCACGGGCACTGGTAATGCACAAAAATCCAGTTATTAATACAAAGATAAAGGACAATCTAAGAAACATTGAGTTCAGTTTATTATAAAACGTTACTACGACTAAGATATAGTATC